TGCGCCGTTCCAGCGACAGCGGCAGGGCGGCGCGACGGCGCCGACAGCACGGCCGCGCTGCCTCCCACGGGAGCGCGGCGGTTCAGCGAGTGGCGTTCCGAGCATAGGCAGACGGCTGACGGCGCGTTTGGCCCAGCCCCGGAGACCAGTCTGCCGTCTGCCTATTACACCAGGCATTATGATATCACGACTCGCATCCACAAACTGTGGAGGTGCCAGGTACTCGATGTCTTTTTAAAAATAATTTCCGCTCTATGTCAGCATTTCCTGCCACACAAGTCACACAGCCTCCACATGCCTCAGATGCAGTCGCATAGTAAGCGTCGTGTCCGTGTCCCGTGGCGTCCACATCTGTACCTGGCGGCGCGCTGTCCACACAGCGTCAGCCACGAACAACCGTCAGAACGCCGGTGCGCCGCCCGTGGCGCGCCGCCCGTGCAGGGGGGCGGACCGCCGTCCGCGACCTGACAAACGGAACAGACAACAAGCGGGCCGTGTTGAGTCACATCAGGGGCACAATCATTCGGACGGCAGGCGCGGTGCAACGGGTACCACTTCTGCGAGGTCGGCCCAGCCGAACCGCGGGCTGTCCGGGTCGGCAGTGACCTTGGAGCAGTCACTCACACTGATAGGCGCTGCGTGCACAGTTCTGCCGCGCCGGCCCCACAGCAGCTGCACGCCACGTCACATTTGGGGCGATAACAACAGGAGGCTAAATGACAGGCACCTGTACGTCTTCCCAGAGCAGCGCCGAGCGCAACAGCAGACATGCAACGCACGTGACGAACAGCCGCAACGAGTGTCTGTTCCCACATGTGAATGAGCAATTTCGAGCTCCCAAAAACAAGGAAACTCAAAAGGCATCGGAGCCAAATAGTGCAGGGTGTTCCGAAAGTATGGAGGCCCAAACAATGGTGGTGGTGGTGATTTGGTTTTTTAGGGCGCGTCGGCATCGGGGCCATTTTGCGCCCACTCGATGACGATTACCTACTTCTGCGACGACGCGATAAGTATGTTGTCAACTAATAACAGGTGCTATCACTGGCGCACCTACACTGAGGGATGAGTGAAAATAATGTCAAAGTCAATGTGTACTAAAAATGCGAGTATATCTCCAAGTTCACCACATGGGTCTCGACCGAGTAACCGATGAAGGGGCGCTGGAGGAAAAAATCGTCGCCTCTCCGTCTCAAGGCGCCGGCATGAGACGAGGACACGTTCTACAGACAACCGGTCCCCGCATCTATCACACCGTGGCACATCCATACGCGTCAAGTAAAACGAGTGTGTTGCATATGTATGACCCAACCGAGGCCTACAAAGGGCGACTTCCTGGAAGCGGCTTCGGCGGTGCGAGGATTCCCAATCACCCAGGTGGAGCTTGATTTCCCTGAAAGCGTGAAGATGTTGGTCGAACATGTGCTGCCACGTATTGCGGACGTATTTGGAAATGACTAACTTCAGATCTCGAGCGGGTAAATAAACTGGTATTGGTTTTCTCTCACACGCCGCAGCTTTCGCTGCGGCGTCTGCTTTCCCATTTCCTATTTTCCCTATGTGGCTGGGGATCCACATAAATGTGATACGGCAGGAAGTGTTGTCCAGCCATTCCAGTTCTTCCCAAATTGAGCGCGGCAAAAATGAGTGGTCACGCGACATTGCCGTCGGGTCTAATGATAAAAGTGTACTAAATGAGTCGGTCAAAATGACTACATCCCTTTCAGGACGACGAGCAACGTACTGAAGCGCTGCTAAAATAGCAAACAGTTCTGAGGAAAAAACTGACATGTGCTGCGGGAGGCATGTACCTACGGTATGGTCACCGCAAAAAATGCGCAACCCGTTTCTGTTGAGCCCTTGGACCCATCAGTAAATATTTGTAATGAGTTCGCGTATTGTGAGATTCGTTCCAACGAATAGCTGAGGAACTCTCGTGGTGAAGTGCCATTTTTATGATGCTGACACAGTTCCAAATCATACTTCAGACTCAGACGTCTCCACGGAACTGGGTCCCGAAGAGTGTGCGGGGCAATGTCATCCAGCGTAATATCTGTCTCGTCCAGCCAGTCCCGGACGCGCAGGCACATCGGCCGCGCTGACGTGGGCCGCCTCCCTCAAGAAAGAACGGATTAACGTCTGAGAGAAGATGAACTTAAAGGCTGGGTGATCCGGAAATTGTGAAACCTTTGTAGCGTAATTCAAAGTAAGTCGTTGTCTCCTAAGAGGCCAGGCGGTTCATTCGCTTCCACCAGCAAGTTTCTTGATCGGGTCGTACGAAACGCCCCAGTGGCTATACGAACACATGTATGGTGGATTGTGTCCAAAACCTGCTTCGAAGATGTAGGAGCACTATCGAAGACAGAGCACTATCGTATCGTAGACATAATCGATGAATGATCGAATTAGGGCCACATACAAGTTCAACAGGGTGCTTCTATCGGCTCCAAAGGTCATACGACACATTACTTTCATGAGGTTCATGCGCTTGAGACACTTAGTCCTGACAATCTTAAAGTGTTGCTTAAATGTGAGCCGACGGTCAAACGTGAGGCCCAGGAAACAACAGGGACGGCGGCATTATAGAGTCGCAACTCCGGGTCTCTACAGCCTCTAATCCGTGAGCAGAAGTGCATACAATTAGTCTTGGTGGTCGAAAATTTGAGGCCATTCTTTAGGCCCCACTCAGTTCGTTGAATCAGGCATAACTGAAGCTGCCTCTCAGCAGACGTCGTTGTGGATGCTGCACACCAGATGGTAAAGTCGTCCACAAACAGTGACCGACTAATGGTAGGTGGCAAACAGTCGGCGATATCATCGATCATCAGCGTAAACAGGGTTACGCTAAGGACGCTCGCTTGAGGAACACCGCTCTCTTGTTCATAGCGATCAGATAGCATGCCACCCACTCGGACGCGGAAAAATCGACGATGTAAAAAGTTTTCAATACAGAGTGCCATGTGACCTCGGAGTCCAGGCCCAAACAATGAGTTATAATAACTACAGGTTTTGAAATGTTCAAACATTGGCCATCTGCGGTCATAACCAATTCACACCACGTGATGAAGTTATGTTTACATCGTTCATTTATTTCTCGATCACTGGATTTCGCAAGATATACCCTCAATGTGAGCCACGTCGTTCTCTCGACTTTGGAGGCGGCATACGAAGGGGTTCATCCCTTGGCTGCATTCCGCAATGGAGGTTTATCTGATGTGAGCATGTATTGCTGCTGTCAGTTCCGTGATGGTCCGCAGCTGTTTCCCCAGAATGTTGTCTTAGCAGGGGCCCCACAGGTAAATATCGAGTGGCCTGTGATCACGGGGGCGAGGGGCTTTTGGGGAAGTTAGACGCTTCCCCAAGTGGGTTTACAACCAGTGCTTTTTCTAATGATTTCTAATGCGTGGTTTTGCTCTATCCTGTTGTCAAGCATTCTTTCCTCCTCCATACGGTTCTTCTCGATATTGTTTTTCTCGATACCGGACTGCCTTCCCCAGAGCTGTCCAAAACTTCAACGTCTCAAACAGGAACGGTTCGATGCCCGATTTTCCTGACAATTCATGCAGTAATTTTCTTACAATGGAGCGATTTCTCGGTGACTGTATCAAAATGTCTCTCTCCTCCAGAAAACGTCGTTCTTCCTCTTGACGCATCCGTTTAGACGAAAGTGGGCTTTCTCTGAAAACCTGGCAGGATTCATCAGCTCTTGGTCTTCTGAAATCCTCTGTAAAAATCGGTCGCACATGATGACACCTTTCATCCTGTCCTTGTGTCCAGCCCGTCGGCTCTCATCAGAGGTCGGGCAACTTTTATGTGGTACGGGTGCAACTTCAGATTGCCTCTCACAAATCTGTGCAGTGAAGAGACTGTCGTGTTAATATCCTTGGTTTGGCTTGAAGCCCCACGACATGTGCGGGCTTCTCAGCATCGCCTGGACGACAGTTTCCAGGTTTTCTTGCGTTCTCACGGAACGAAAGGGTCCAGTGTAAATGATGGCCTGTATCGTTCGATTATTCGATCGTTCGTCATTCGATATCGTTCGATTCGATTTTGTTTGTTTTTTTGACAATATTCGATACCCGGGGTTTACTCACAGTCTGCGTTGAGCTTTAATTTTAATGCTTTTGAGTTCATGACAAAATTTGAACTGTGTTTGGACGTAGGTTTCCACTCCAAACGAGCCTATGCCTATGTGACTAGTGCACGCAAGAGCAGTTTACACAGCAACATATGCTGTTGATCCTTAAAAAAGACTGACGAGAAGATTTAAGATTAGCCTGCTTTGTGTACGGCTCGCGGCGTCTTTCACTCAATGTTTTGTGGAACTCTCACTTTTAGGACACCATGTATTTAGTACCTGTACAGTAATAGCCGCGCCAGTTTTTAATGTTCTGCCAATGGTCATCATTTCAAAGGAGGCCATGGCTCTCCCACACGAGACGCTGAGGATCTTCAGCGAGCCAGAACGACCTTGCAATGACAGACAACTTCCAAGGCAGCGGGCGACTGTCTCAGCAGCCACCGGCCATGCGAGTGGAGCACCCCTACAGCCTGGCGGGGGACAATAGAGCCTTCATAAGCCATTGAACACGCCAAATCTAGCTGAGCAGGCATGCCGAAAGGCGAGGAAGCCGGGCCGCCTTGATTGGTCACTAGCTGCGATCCACTGCGATCGGCTGCCCCCAGCTCCAAACGGCCTCAGCAGGCGCAGCTGACGGGCAGTACGCCATCCGGTCATCGCCTGTGTCGCCGGGCTCGCCCCGGCCGGCCGGCGGTGTGTGAGGGCGAGGGCCGGCCGGTGGGCAGCGCCTGTGTCGCCGGGCTCGCCCCAGCCGGCCGCCAGTGTGTGAGGGCGAGGGCCGGCCGATGAGCAGCGCCTCTGCCGCCGGGCTCTCCCCGACCGGCCGCCGGTGTGTGAGGGCGATGGCCAGCCGGTGGGCAGCGCCTCTGCCGCTGGGCTCTCCCCGGCCGGCGGGCAGTGCCGCCCCAGGGTCGCCACTGACCTGAGCTGTAGCTGTCGTTGGAGGAGGCCGACAGCGAGCGGCTCCTGTAGCGGCCGCGGGGCCGGCCGCCCACCCTGGCGTCCTGCCGGCCGGGCGGGGTGTTACAGGGGGCACGCACCGCACAGCCTCCACGATCGGGCGACATCAACACCAGGCGCAGCTGCAAGTTGTGTTAGCTGTGTGGTCACGGGTTAACTGGCTGTGTCCGCGTAATCGATTAGCGGCCCTGCTCGTCCGCGCCAAACGGTTTGTTAGTTAAACATCGTCGATTTCAGCATCCAAGTCATGCACAAGTTGATGTATGCTTTCCAACATTTCGCTTGCAAGAGCGTGTCATGCCGTAGTCCCCACCAAAAAAAGAGCTAATTGTCACAAGAATCCGTGCTCAAGCATAAAAGTGATGGCAACGCCTATACATTAGTTACGGGCCGTTGGCTGACTTCACTGCAAGACGTCACGGTGCGGTGAAGATAAATCGGACCCCACTGTCGACACGACCCGGTCTGACGGCCCGCCCTACCGAAACCGACCGAGCCATAATGAAGCCAATCGTACCGGTCAGCCAGTCATGGCGCCAGGGCAAGAGGAGGCAGGTAGGATCAGACAAGGCTATTAACGGCAGGTGGAGGGGGGGGGGGGGGGGCTGATCACGGCATGACAGAGAAGGATCCCAGCTTTACAGCAGGTAGGAGACGCACGCCTGATCATGGCATGACAGAGACGGATCCAAGCTTTACAGCAAGTAGGAGACGTGCGCCTGATCATGCCATGACAGAGACGGATTCCAGCTTTACAGCAGGCAGGAGACGCGCGCCTGATCACGGCATGACAGAGACGGATCCCAGCTTTACAGCAGGTAGGAGACGCACGCCTGATCATGGCATGACAGAGACGGATCCCAGCTTTGCAGCAGGTAGGGGACGCGCGCCTGATCACGGCATGACAGAGACGGATCCCAGCTTTACAGCAGGCAGGAGACGCGCGCCTGATCACGGCATGACAGAGACGGATCCCAGCTTTACAGCAGGTAGGAGACGCGCGCCTGATCACGGCATGACAGAGACGGATCCCAGCGGCCGGCCATATCCATGCCTGGCGTTTGATAACCATGCCGATCACTCACTACGGGCGCTCCCGACTACTCTCACACCCTGATCTCGCGAAGACGCGCACCAGGTAACTAGGCCAGCACTGTCTTACAGAGACCGCCCACTTCCCGAGGAGAACGGTGGAGTGGCGGGTACGATCGGCTCCCGTGAGTCCAGCCGGGAGACCCCCGATGGAGGGGCGCCGGACCGCCGACGGATCCTGCACATGGCGCCCCGGGCGGCGCTTCTGCCGCCGATCCCGCCGACCTGGCCCACACCAGCACCCACCGATCCCGCCGACAGCCGTCGGCGTCCCTCCCACGGCCTCCGTCGGTACCACACACGCACCTGCAGGTCAGCCTCATCAGCGGCGCCAGGGCCGACGTGGGGTGCCGGCTGGGGCCAGGTCAGCGGGTCGGCCGACGGCAGCCAGACGCGGCCGCCGCGCACGCCCAGCGAGCTGGCCCACGGCTCTGCCGGCCAGGCACGCAGCGCCTTGGCCGGCTCAGCGACGCCGCCCAGCCGGTACGCCCAGCCCGGCACCGCCTGTCCGCCCTTCTGCGCCGTAGGATCCATGGCGCGCGCCGACACGGAGCGCGGGCAGCACGTGGAGCGCAGGTACCAGCCGATCGCCGAGCTCATGGGGCCACCGCACGACTGCCGGCGGTGTGGCGCGCCACCCCCGCCGCCGCGACCTTGGTCACGGCCGGGCGCGGCCGGAGGCAGTCACCGCGCCGGCCGCCAGCCCGGCGCGCGTGGCCAAGGCCGCCGCCCGAGGCGTCAGGGTGCCGGTCACGGCGCCGCCCGACCCGAACGGTCCCGAAGGCTCGCCGGCGGTTGGAAACGGCTCCGCGTCGGAGCGGACCGACGCCGCGCTGCGGCTGGAGCGACCGAAGGCGCCAACATTCAATCCGTCCGAAACAAACGCCGATCGGACAAGGCTATTTGTGGTTTATTTATGGGTACGATAGCTTTCAAACTTTGCAGGAATCCAGTACATCGTTCGGTGAAGCAAGACGGAAAGCCACATCACAGCACCATGCAAGGCAATGCTTATCTGTGTAAGCATCGGTCTTAAGTCATTGCGCAATTTCACATCCGCATTGTGCCTTGCCGGCAACCGCACGGAAAGAGTAAAAATAACGCTGTCTGTTAGTTGTTTTAACATGAACATTGAAGGAAATCCCATTCCAACTTCTGGAGCCATTGCCGAACCGTTTCAGGTGCGTCCACATAATTTTGAACCCCTGTCAGATAATCAATTCGGCACATTCTGGCGACAAATATCAGTATGATGAAGCTGCGCAGCTGACATAATAAGCAAAGTATCTCAGTTCTTTTTTCTTCTTCATGCAGAAATCCACGGTTCCATTTCTTTTTTGCATCGTTTTCATCCAACGCACATTTGAGACAACAAAGAAGCATGCCAGTCAGGATCAGTCCTAATATATACGGGGTCACAGCAGATCCCCATGAGAGGTCATGTGATGCCAGCCTGTAAGTGTCGAGCTTCAAGAATTCGTGTTGTCCACCCGTGATAACTAGGTCGGAACAACTCCCACGCTTCAAAACAACTTCCACTACAAGTCCCGTGAGACCGAGCAATAGCAAAATTAACAAACACTGAAGTGACCGCACCTTGACCTGCCATATTTCTCACCATAGTTTTGTGGTATGGTTTCGACAGAAAAGAGCAGATGCTTTCGTTTGGAGAAGTTCCAAAACTGAATGCCCAATATTACGGGTGTTAGAGGGCCCTGGAGCAGTGCGAATATTTTGGCAATTTTATGGTATTTGCTCCCCTGTGATGTCACCGGCTGGGTGGCAAATGTCGACGAACCCCTGGGTGGTATTGGTCGTTTGACTTTTTCTCCTTTCCAGGACAAGATCATGAAAAATCAGACGGTTTCCCCTCCCATCCCATCCTCACGTCTAGGCGGTACTTTTGCCCTCTTCCCCCCCCCCTCCCGCTCCAGGGTCGCAGTGGGCGAAATATCCTCGGCTCTGGGGACGGGTACTGTACCCCAGTGCGCGCTGCACCAGATCGCTGAGCGGCGGGTGAAGTCACCGGACGCGTCCGCGGCCCGTCAGTGCAGCTGTGGGGAGAGGTACCGTACCCCAGTGCGCGCTGCACCAGACCGCTGAGCGGCGGGTGAAGTCGCCGGACGCGTCCGTGGCCCGTCAGTGCAGCTGTGGGGAGAGGTACCATACCCCGGTGCGCGCTGCACCAGACCGCTGAGCGGCGGGTGAAGTCGCCGGACGCGTCCGTGGCCCGTCCGTGCAGCTGTGGGGAGAGGTACCGTACCCCGGTGCGCGCTGCACCAGACCGCTGAGCGGCGGGTGAAGTCGCCGGACGCGTCCGCGGTCCGGCAGCGCGGCTTGCCATCCCAGCTCCAGGCCTGGCTTTCTGACTGTTCTGGTTCGGACACCCTACGGAGGCGACCGTTCGACAGTGACGAGCTGTGTCAGGACCGCTGACACTCGCTCTGAGCGCCGTGTCGCGAGCAGGGGTGACGTCCGACGCCCCGCTTTATGCCGAAAACCGGGGGGTTCAGATTTGTATCACGTAAATCAGTTTCCATGGACCAACGTAGCGGCGAGAAGCAAGAGGTATAGAAAGGCAGAACGGAAAGGAGAGGTCAAAATATGGGGGGATCGGATCCGGCGCCGTGCAGTCTGCTCACTCATAACTGCGTAACGGGCTGGCTCAGGACTACCGAAGACAGAGGACGGCGCAAGACCAAGCCCGCCCACTTCTGACATTTGATAGACGCGGCAGGGACTGACGTCACCCAACTGTGACAAGACTTCGCCCTAATCACACGAAACGATGTTTTACAGCGTTTGTAGCACGTCGTGCCTCTAAAAGTGATCACGGAGTGCTCGGCACATGCTGCGCTGATGACGGCGGATATATACGAATCATATCAGGAGTATCTATCTTGAGCAAACAAGCCAGCTCGAACTTGCTAGGCACGGCGCCGACAGGCTCCTGGTCAATATGGCGATTACGGCGCCGGTGGTCTCCCCATTAGCGGCAATAGAGCCTTCCAGGAACTAACGGCGGACCGTTCCCCAAGTGCTTGCCGCGTTTTGGCGGCAGAACGCGCCAGTTCGGGAGGCTGCCGAAGCGCTACGGTCTTGCAGCCGAGTTCGGTCAGCTAGGTCACCGTCACTCATATCAGCACCCGGACACAGCCTGCAGTGGCTAATGCCGGTGGGGACGCGGGAACGAGGGGCGTCAGCGGGCTCGTCTCCTCTCTCAAATCTTCCGAAAATTTAGCATTGGCCCAAGCGGCGTTGACTGGAAAGAGAAATCTAACAAATCGCCATCGAACCACCAAATTTGGGAGAACTTCCATTGACCCTCTACTTACGGAGATACGGTCCGCTGTCCAGAATGGAATACCGCAGGCGATGGTTTGGTTTGGAGGGCGATGCGCCCTGGGCTCAGTAATAACATACAAAGGTTATCGAAATCATCCTTGGGCACCCTACACGCGGTGCAGCAGGTTTTAACGCAACGGAAACAAAGCCATGAAAAACAAGTAACGGAAGCAGGCAACACTCATTACCTCAGGAATCAGTGGGTAACCAGGTAAACACTGTACGCACTAGGCAACATAGTCCATCTCTACAGTTGCAGAGTGCCGCCTGATACGAACTCCACACAAATGGTTGCTGGTTCGCGAACACCACCCATGGAACCAACAAAGGTTTGCATACAAACGATACCCAATGATAACGCGCTCAGGAGTGAAAAACTGAAGAAATAAAGCACTTCCCAGGTTGTGGGGGACCTGGAGCACAAAATCTTAGAAGCACAAATGAATCAGACGGTTTGTAACTCGTGGGGCGGTGAAAACCAGTCCAATACCCGCAAGACGTGCCGCACTTTTACTTGCTACGGTGCACTTTAAGTATCGGCTTGGTTGCACCCACGTGTTTATCAGCACGAAGTGGTCGACCTGCCGACAGACGGCTGGCGGGACGG